CCTAAACTGTGAGCACAGATCAGGGTCCCTCCGCTCCCTGGGAACTCAGACCCCTGCCCTGCAGGGTTTCCTTGAAAATTCCAGTTCCTGCAAAGTCAGAGGGTCAAAGCTCATATTCTCAAGGTAACCCCATGAGAAATGAAGGCCACCTTAGCTCAGTAGCTATGACGATGCATTTTCTCATTGTAAATATCATCAACTGGACTGAAAAATTTTTAAGAAAGGCTTAGATCAATTTNGAGGCTTATGCTCCTAGATCAATTTTAAACATACTGACTGGCCCGCTAGAAATTGCTGGTGTCATGGATCATGTGAATTTATTCTCCCCCTGCCCCCCCATACACACACACCCCTAGTTGAACCACATCTCAGGCAGCCAAATGCCAAGCGTACTTAGAGGGAAGCATCGGGTCCCTGGAGAAGCGTCATTTCATTACCGAGAGAAGCGCGATGGAACTGCCTCTTTGCTTCAGAGCCCACGCCGGCAAAGTGAGGAGAGCCTCTAGGGGTTCCTCTCCACGAGGCAGCCGCTCTCGGCGGGTGACTTACCTTGGCTTTCACCCCAGGGTTCCCGCACCTTTCCTCCGGGCACATTACCTGGGGCCCTTCCTCTTCACATGCGGGCAACATCCCCTGGAGCCTTCGCCCATCGCAGGAAGAGCTTCTCTCGCTGAGTTTAAAGCAGGAGGCGCGACAGGACCGCTGATCTCCGTGTCCCGACAGAGACGGTGCCCTCCCTGCTCCAGGACGGACCGAGGTTTCAAGAGGCATGGGGACCCTGTGAGACTGCAGCTGCGCGAAGCCCAGCACAGGTGGCCTTTGGGTTTCCCTGAAAGAGAGAGCTTCACAAACTCGACTGTGCTAAGAACCACAGGGGCAGCAGAAAGACCTGGTTAAAATGCGGATTCTGACTCGGCGCTCTGGGTGAGTCTAATCTTCACTTGGGGGTTCTAACAAGCCCCCGTGATGTGGATGCCACTGGTCCACAGACCACACTTGGAGTTACCGCCTTTAAGGAGCTGCGATGGAAGGTCTGGATCTTCCACTCTGGTCCCAGGCCAGCCCCATAGGCATCCTCTGGGAGCTCGTTAGAAATGCAGACTCCCAGGCCCACCCAGACCTGCTGCATCAGAATCTGCATTTCCTCACATTTCCAGAAGGTTCTATGCATATTAGTTTGAGAAGATGACAGAGGAGAACTCCAGGATCAAATTCACAGTTGTTTTCTATAAAATGGTCAGAGGGGCCAAAGGAAAGCATCTTGTTGATTCTGAGAGATTTGAAACCCATACTAAAGGTCAGCCTGGATTAGAGGGACAGAGCAAACTATTCGGAAACAAACCCTTAAATCCCGGCGCCCTCCCTACAAGACCACACAGGACAGTAATCCAACTTCAGCACCGCAGCTCTGAGTGTGAACTGTTTACGTTGCTGTCACCTTTTTTGGTTTTCATGACTTCTCTACAGTCACTAGAGCAACCAATTTGAGGGCCTTGCTGTAACCAACAGGCTGCCGTCGTCTTGGGGACAGGTGGTCTAAACAGTGGAGGAGTACTGGGTACAGCCCAGAGCTCTCAGTCAGAAGGAGAGAAGGGACCACACTTGTAGACTTGTTGCTCGGGGATATTCTAGCTGTGTGGCCTTTAGGGGGACCTGAAAAGGGCAGATGGCACCGCATCTGTGAACTCAGTACCTAGCAAAACACAGGATATGGTAATAGGATAATTTAGTCAACCTTGGTTAGAGATATTTACTTTGAGGTTCAAAGCACTAACGTGCTAAAACTAGAGGCTAAAAGAAGACCAAAATCCAAAAAGAAAGGGAACACAACTAAATCAAAAAAAGAAAGAACTGAAATTAACTTTTAATGAGATAATCAGGCTCTAGCAGAATCTGGGATCGTAAGGAACCTCCCCTCCCCCCCAGGAAAACAGTTGGAATCAGTGAGATCTGAGGTGCAAGCTCTGTATTTCTTTCAGTGCTGTTTTCTTGGGGTCCTGTCAGGGAAAATGCTTGCTGCAGACAACTACTCGCCTTTGTGGATCAATAGATCAAGGAGCAGTCAAAGGAGATGGGAGCATCCAGGAAGGGACGGCGCTGGCATCGATGGATGCGGCAGGGCCGATGCAAATACTGTGCTCAGTTAGCATTTTTGTGGACTGAGCAGTTTCTGAAAACTATTTTTCAAGTCATGGGAGCATCTGGCTCCATTTCTGAAATACTTTTGCCATCACCCCCTCCCGCCTCCAGCCAGTCCCACCAGAATTCAGTTTTGGGGCCTTCCCTGTGCCAACCTTACACCCCTCTTCTGCTCTATTTGCCTGTGTTAGGGCTTTAAAGTTTAGTAACAACCGCAGGCCCTTAGTTGAGCTCCTACTGTGTGCCAGGCACGGCACATGTCTTATTTAATCATCACAGCCATTTCTGTTTACAAATGAAACAACACACCCATGCTCAGAGAGGTGAAGAAAACTGCCCAAGGTCACACAGCTCATAAATGAAGGTTGTAGAATTCCACCCTGGAGCCCCCCAAAGTCCATGCTCTTCCAGCTAAGTCACTCTGCCTCTTATGACTATGCTCCCTCACTTCCATCTGGTCTCTCCAACCACTATGTTCTGGGCAGCTCTTAATTCCTAGAACCACTGTGGAGTAGGTACGCACGGCTTTCATTTGGACTTCATTTTCAGCAATCTCATCCCTCCACTGGGGTTCCTCCCTAGTGAAAGTACCTCCACATTTGGCAGCCACAGCTTCAGTGCCTTTTCACATAGATTTTGTCTTGAATGTTTTGAATGGATTTTGCACCCCATATGTATACACAGGGGCTTAGGTATGAAAGGCAAGCCCTCTACCAATGTTCTTCTAGGTTCAGAAAAAAAATCAAGAAAATTAAGGGCAAGCCCCAAAGGATGACCACAGGCGTGTTTATAAAAGACATTGCTACATTGGTCTGTTTTGTTAAGCACCAAACTTTCTCTGTCCCATCTATTGGTAATTCTCTTGGCTAATGGTTTACTTACTGAAGCAATGTATAGACAGGAACTCTGAGTGCTGAGGACTGTGGGAAAGCCTACACTGGGGCAGGTCCACTTATAGCAGAGGCCACTCACACTGAGATGAAAGCCCCCTGCACAGTAGTGTTTTTTCACAGTCACAAAGGAGGAACGATTTTTAACAGAAAGCCAACTGGAGGGATAACTTGGCAAACAAAATACTGAGGATCCATTGCCAGCATTGCCAGGTCATTTGTCTCGGGGAAGGAGGGGTCTCACCGTGATGCATGAATGTTTTGACTTGGTGATTAATCACAATTCTATTGGAAGCCCCACTTGCATGTGTTCTCCCACAGGACCCTGTAACACCCTCCTAGCTGCCACTTGCTGCAGAAGGGGGGCCTCCCAAAATTGTGTGATTTAACAACAGACCAGGAAATGGAGCCAAAGCTCCAAAAGAGACGTCTGTAATAACAGCTCCTCCTAAAAAGAAGCCCTCAATCTTCTGTTTGCCTCTTAGTATTGGGAAAAGGGGAGGACTCTTTCCCGAAGTCTCCAGTTTGAGAATATGGGTCTTTATATTCATCACCATCACTCCATTTACTAAGCACCTTCATGAGATTTTAGGGGATCTTGTTTTAATGTAACTTCCTCCCAGGACATCCTTCTGGAAGGGGAGCTTACTAAATGCACTGGCTCTCTCTTGGCGAGCTCTGTGCGCTGGGTTGGGACAGGTTAAACACAGTAAAGATCCACATGCCAGCTCAGAGGACAAGCCCTAAAAATCCAGAAAGCTTTTTCTTAAACTCTAGAAAAAAGACAGGAGAGGAAGGATGGAAGAAAAGAAGGAAGGGGGGAAGGATTGGTGAGAGAGGGGAAATAAATTCGGTAGAATACACAGTTCCAAAACCAAAAGGACAAAATTCAACTAACATGTGTTAATCTTTATTCTATAACAGAGACATAAATAATTTTATGAATTCATATGATCTGTACAAAAGACAAAATAAGATATTGCACTAAGTTTAGATATGGGATATTTGGATTTCATATCGGCTAACCAGGTAAATATATACAATTCAAGGAGTTAAGGCAAAACCAGATGAAACTTCAAACACAACAGAAGGCGGAACACAGGTGTATGGAGAACAAGGGCTGCCCATCTCCCATTGGTAAAGTGGCCATGGCCAAGGAAAAGACCCCTTAGGTGTCTAATAAAGTGGTTTTCATCAATCATGTTCATTAAAGTCGAGCAACAAAGTCTAAGCTTCCCCGTGGAGCAGAGCAGTTTCGGGAGGTGTGGGGACTGAGCAGGTAGAACTCGGGGAAGAAACTCTTTCCTTGTCAGATTTATGATCTATTCTTCCTATTAGAAAATATAATTTGGAAAATATGACTCTTTCACATATATAATTAAAATAAAACTATGAAGCATTCTTTTTTTTTTTAGGGAAGTCATGTTGGGGATCTCATAGTCAGGGTAAATCTGCGGGCAAAGCCATTCGTTACCCTATTGGTAGAGAAAACACAAAGCCAGTCACCGCAAAACAATTCCCAGGTACCTACACAGGACAAAACAAACCGACTCGAAGGCATAAAAACACAGGTGGTCAGTTTACCAGCACGGGACACGGCTCCTTGGCAGCAGCGCACTAACCGCTGACGGAGGCCCGAAGGCTCGCGTCTTCTCTCCTTAGGCCCGCTTGCCAGTCTTTGAGAAACAAATGGATAAAATTCCACATCTGCAGGGAACTCAGTCATTCCAGGAAATTAAATTCAGGAGGAGCCTGCGGACGGCTGTGAACGGCGACAAGGACGGATAGGTAGGTCCCGTCTGCTGCGAGTCCTCATCCAAACGCAGGGACGCGCACGCGAAAGCGACCTGGGGAGCTGCGCTGGCTCGGACAGGCCTGGGGTCCTGAAGGACAGTCCACTCGGCGCGTGCGGCCCCGAGGACAGCGATCCGAGGGGGGGGCGGCCTCCCCGCAGACCCCGCGGGCGGCGCCCTACAGGGGGAACACCAGGAACCCCGAGAACGTGGAGTACTGCCAGCCCCCCACCAGGTTGCCCTTCTCCAGCTTCAGGTAAACCTTGTCCTCCTTGTCGAGGTAGAGCAAGACCCCGTTGGTGGCGGCTTCGCGAGTCACGTCTTTGTCCCCAGCAAAGGCAGAAATCACCGGTTTTCCATTTAACATCAGGTTAACCTACGAGAAAAAAATCACTGCGCTCTCTTTAGAGTCCAAAAAAATCGACCAGGGATAATAAACCGTGTCCAAGATGACAGGCCTGGGAAAGCATCGGATGTTTAGTAAATATATTCCCTTCCTTTCAAGTCAGCCAACTGCGGCGGCTAGACCTAGTATGTCTACTAAGCTGGGGGCATGGGGGGGTGTTAAAAATAAAATTGAGTTTCTTCCATAGAAATTTCCTTCAATGCCTCCAAAAGATTCCCATCTGGGCCATGTGGAAACTGTACAAAAGCACGTAACTTAAGCTTGCCACTTTATTTGCCTCTCATATTCAGCAGCAACCTTTTGGTAGTAAGCAAGCCCGTGGCTTCCAGCGTGTGAGTAAGAAGAGACCCAGTGCCCTTTGCCCCAGTGAACCAGATATAGCAAAATTCTACCAGCTTCCCCGCAGGCCACCCCGCAGCTGCGACGCGCGCGGTGCCGCAAGTCATTTGAAATTGTGGACTGTGTGTGTGCTGTGGCCTCTTTTTCTGTTTTCCCTGATGAGAAATGTGTATTAATAATCACCACTCCCACCGAAGATGTTAATGATGGCTAATTAGCAAAGAGCTAATCATTAATAAACTCGAAATTATTAACAAATAATAAGCTCAAAATTTATCCACTTCTCTCCATACTACAGTTTTGATTATACCGTGTTAAACATTACACAAACTTTTAAATGGTGGGTCTTGGGAAAAGCTTTTCCATGGCAGTAAATTTATTTACTAGCTATTCATTCCTTTTGTGTTAAAAACAATATTGAATAGCCCAGCCAGCCTGGCTCAGTGGTTGAGTGTCGACCCTTAAACTAAGAGGTCTCGAGTTCGATTCCCAGTCAGGGCATGTGCTCTGGTTGTGGGCTCCATCCCCGTAGGGGGCGTGCAGGAGACAGCTGATCGATGTCTCTCTCTCATTGATGTTTCTATCTCTCTATGCCTCTTCCTTCCTCTCTCTCCAAAATAAATCAATAAAAAATATTTAAAAGAAAAAAATACAGAATAAATTCAATCTGAGGTTGATCAGTTTATCCATTCACTAAGATACTTAAAAGTGGTAGGTGAGTGAACCTATCCTTCACGTGGACATAGCATACAATACAAATATTGAGCATAAGATACACAGTTATCCTAGAATTCCAGAGACATGTATTGGTGTCATTGGGTGTTTGCAAATTGAACCATTATAGGAACTAGCCCCATGCCTTTGCGTGTGAGATCAGGCCCATTACCTTAAAAAGCACAGCCCAAAACATGTTGTTAACTGTGGACCTGCAATTGGTAAGAGATCCCCCAGCATTGGAGCAGCTGAGGAAAAACTAAAGCATTAGCATAGCACACTCTTGTTTTAAAAAAGTATATTAACTAATTGTCCCTTCACCAATATATTCTTACTGGTGAACTGTTTCTCCCATTTTTAACAATGGTAGCAAGTTTGTTTTTATTTAGTAAGCACTTGTAGAACTCTGCTGTTCTTACAAATTTTTTCCTTACAAGTTAAAATAATTTTGCACATGCACTAAATGAAATCAAGACCTTATCAAGAGATCTGTGTCACTGAGCTTTCACTAAGCCATGGGTTTTTTTCCCCTTTTCATTGAATTTATTGGAGTGACACTGGTTAACAAAATTATAGAGGTTTTAGGTGCACAATTCCACAGCACGTCACCTGTACACTGTATTGTGTGTTCACCACCCCAAGTCGAATCTCCATCCATCACCATTTATCCAAAGCCATGTTTTTTTAAATGGTTGGTTGTTATTAAGGTAGTAAGTTTAATTGTTTATTTTTTCTATATGCTTCTTGTCACATGACTTGTGGATGTTATAAAGAAAAAGATTGGAAATTCATTGTTTTAAAAATAAACTACAGCGACAACACATCTTTAGATAAATACATAAATACATAACCCACAACCAACAAACACTGTTGTTTGGGGATAGAGAGGAAACAGGTCAAAACACATACCTGGATGGTTTGGCTCTGGTAGACTTTAATTACATGAAAACTGAAACTGTAAATTCCTTTTCTTGGTGCTACAAAGACAGACTCCAGCGTGAAAAAATTACCCACATTTACTAGGATCTACAAGTAAAAATAATAAATAACAGTAAATTATTATAATACTCTCCTCTGTAAGTATATTTCCGCCCTCCCTCTGTTTTTTTCCTAATCCTCAACTTGCTTAAGAAACCATGGAGAACAAAACAGAGTCTACTCCTTTCCTCGTTCGCGACTTGGAAAATGGATTTGTACGTTGCAAGGATCTTCTGTCTTTTAAATGGCAGAGGGGAAAATTAAGTAACTGCTTTGTATGCATGCCTCCATTTCCAGCAAGGCCCAATGGCTCTGGAAACATCTAGGTAACTCGTGAGGGCGTATAAATGTTTCGTCTTTACCTTGAGAGTCAGATAAAAGGTACCTGCCACGTATCTACATCCCCACCCTCTCCAAGCCTTCACAGGTCCAGAGGTGGTGTTTCCCAGGCAGCCAATCGGCTCCATGGCTCTCTGCAGCGATTCCTGGGCACACCACACAGAGCCCCCGCAATCCCTCCGCCCTGGGACAGAAGCCATGGCACTGAATAGTTGGTGCACGGAGTGATCTGCAGGCCCGGCCCTCTTCTGAGCCTCCGCCAAACCTCTCCTAAGAGCCATGGCCATTATTTCATCCCTGTGCCATCTAGGCCTTAATTCTGCTTTGGCAGTGACTCAGCCTTTGCAGGCTGCCAAAGAGGAGAGCGTGAATCAGAGCAGACTGTGAGGTAGGTGGCTTTTCTCCTGCTCCTCCCAGGGTCCGCAGGCACCCTCTGATCAACCACCTGCTCTTTATTTAAAGTTCAAGGGTCAAAACTGAAACTTGAAATCAGGTACTGTTTCCAAGCGAAGCAACAAAAAGCATTTTATTTTCCAAGATGTTCAGCCTAGATCTACTGGTTATGAAATTAACTTTGAATTTCAATAAGTGACCTCTTAAACCAAATTGACAAACCTCACATAGGTGAGTCCCTTCCTATGAGAGAGTGTTGAGGGAGGGGAAGTCGTAAAATAACTAGGGTTTCTTCCATTTCTCATCAAGAAATAAATCTATAGGTGGCATTCAAAAAAATCAGATGTCCCTATAAAGATACATTTCCCATATTTCAAAGGCAATCTGCTACTATCCCTTTTAAACACCACATCCATACCAATACTAATCCTTTAGCATAATTCCCAGAGACATATTATTACCTCTGAGCAATGCATGAGAATATAGTGACGGTCAGAAAGATATACCAGGCTCGACCCTGACTTAAGACACATGTATGTGTATAATGTTACTCTGAGATTTCACCTTCTTCCAAATAGGCATCAGATTTCTTTCTCTGATCTGAGGATCTAGGATCTTCCAACAACAAATGACCAGCCATGCAATAATCCCCAGCAGAAGCTTTATGAAGGTTTCTCCCAAGCACATTTAAAGTCATTTGAGATACTTAGTGGGGACTTCCTGAGTCAGACACAAGTAGCATAATTCATCAGTAATAATGGAAATGGCTGACTAGTGTTGACGGCACATGAGGCTGGATGTTGACTTGAGGTTGTAATTAGAGCATCCAGCACACCGAGATTTATAACTCAATGTGCCTTGTTGTCTCGAAGATGCATGGCTCCCGAACAGAGACATAAGCCCTTCTCCTCTCCTAATTGACGGAAAGGTCACTGAAAAGAATGCACTGTGCAGAGGACAAGGCAATGTCCACAGTATCCCAACATTTAATTAGTGCACTGAAATACAACCCAGGGGTGGTGCTAGGCTTGATTTCCATTGAGAGAGGAAATACTGCACTCCCAAAGGGGCTGCTTGATGCCCCCCACCCCCACCCCAGGCAGTTTCTCTGCCTTTGGCCAGCTGGAGAGAGCATTGTTTAGAAACATTAAGCAAGGAGCACCCGTCACCTCATCCCTTCCCTGGCACATCCTGAGGAGGTACCTCCTCATCTGTGCTCTCACACATGTGGCTTTTCATGCAACTGTGGACTACACATGTGACTTTGGAAATAAAAAAACTCTGGGTGCCCTTAGGGTTGAAATTAAAACCCCTGAATCAGTTTCCAGTGGTGATTCCTTGCTAACACTAAGCTAATATCCTGGGCTCTCTCATCAGCCAAACGTCTGAGCTCCAGGTCTCTAAAAAGAAGCCATGGATTTCATCAGCTCCGCCATCCCCTACCCTCAGTCCCACAGTAGGCCCTTCCCCAGTAATTTGCAATTCTCTGAAAGGACAGTCACAAGGGGAGGGAGAGCCGGCTGGCCCCCCAGAGCTTTGCCCTGACAGCTCAGCGCAGTTGCCCCATCCCTCCCCCGCCCCTCCTCTGCAACTTTTCTGCAAGCACCAGAGGGGCTTCCCTGCAGCGGCGCCTGCAACGTGTGTGGGGATCCCAGCAGCGCAAGGTGAGCGAGGTCTGGCCCTGGCCGCTGCTGCTGCTCACCCTCTCCCGCCACCTGCAAGATCCCTGCAGGGTGTGGACCCGGGAGCTCTCTTTGGGGAGAAGCTTCACCACCTGGGAGAAGCAAAGCGTGTATCCTGCGTTTGGAGGGTACCGCGGGAATGGCCTCGTGGGCACCTACAGAAAGGGTCTGCCAGGGGCCAGGCTCTGGCCAAGAGATTGCAAAGTCTAGGCACCAGGTTCCCGCCGGCTCCTGCGGACCTGTTGCTGTTAAACTTGTCCTGAGCTCTTGCTGCCGGGCTCTGCATTCCCAGCCTTTGTCCCATCGCCCCAGCAGCCTTTGCCCGAGGCCAGGCGGGAATGGGGGCAGGGGTGGTGGTGAGAGAGACATTGGAAGTTTCGGTCTCAGTTTGGAAAGGCGAGCGCCTGAATGATCCCCACATCCCAATCGGAGGGGCTCAGCCTGAGCGGGCGCCCCGGTCCCCTCCACACCCAGCGCCCCACGTCCCTCGGGTCTGACCTGATCGAAGTAAATGATGCGCGTCTTGTTGCTCATCTCGGACGGCTCGTGGTTGGTACTGCGCACCGCGGAGAAGGCAACCTTGGAGTTGGCCGCCCGGACCGAGATCCCCAGAGGGGAGGAAGAGGAGCCCTTGGAGTCCGTGGCCGGGTTCGAGTCGCACACCACCAGGCACTTGCCCTCCAGCACGATGGGCTCCGTGTCGTTCTGCGCCCAGACGGGCAGCGCGGGCAGGGTGAGGGCCAGCAGCACGGCCGGCACCATGG